TGATTTGAAAGGGGGAAGAATGTTATTGTTCTGAGATCTCGTTTAGGGTGAATAAGGCATGTAGGTCCGTTCAAGGGAAAGAACGTAAACAAAATAACGTTCGCAAAAAGCAACTGAGTGGTCTTTTGTGTGGAAACAGCACCAATCTATGCACAATGACAAGGCCATCCTAACTATGTACAATGACCATCATAGGAAATATTTTAATTTTAGTGCACCTAAACGCCGCACCCGCTGAAAATTTAAGTTTTAAACACATAAACGCAGCGGCGTTTCTTCCGGAAATTACGGTATTCATTCATGACCGAAGATCAAATTTGCACTTTCTTATTGATAGCGGAGCTGACCTAAGCATAATTCCTGCTACTTCACAGAATAAATGTAAAACTGAATACAAACTGCATGCAGCTAATAGCACAGATATTTCCACTTATGGCATAAAAAAGCTAACTCTTGATTTGGGATTATGACGAGATTTTCAGTTTCCATTCATAATTGCTGGTGTCACAAAAGGTATTTTAGGAGCTTTCTTCACAAATATAAATTGCTTATCGACATAAACAAGAAAAATTTAATTGATGACATAACACAGCTTTATTGTCCCGTGTGATGTCGCTGCTATTTCCAATCATTACTTAGTAACCACATTAAATAAATCCATAAAAATTTTCAATTTACTGTCGAAATATCCCAAAATTTCTAAACCTAACCTTTTTCCTACAGAAATTAAACATGGTGTTACACATTTTATTACGATTGATGGTCAACCCGTTTATTCAAAGGCACGACAGCTCAATCCAAAATGCTTAGCTACAGCTAAAGAGGAATTTAAATTTATGCTTGACAATGGAATAATTCGTCCATCAAACTCCCAGTGGTCAAGCCCCTTGCACCTTGTTACGAAAAAGGATGGTTCATATCGTCCTTGCGGAGACTACCGACGATTGAAATGCGCAGACGATACCTGATCGATACCCAATTCCTCGCATTGAAGATTTTCATCATATTTTAAGAGGTACAAATATTTTTTTCTAAAATTGATTTATTCAAAGCTTATTTTCAAATTCCCATTGCAGAAGAAGACAAATGTAAAACGGCTATCATCACTCCTTTCGGTTTATACGAATTTAATGTAATGAGTTTCGGTTTAAAAAATGCTCCTGCAACGTTCCAAAGATTTATTCACGAAGTCTTTAGAGGATTAGAATTCGTTTTTCCCTATTTAGACGATATACTCATTGCATCCAGTACCCATGAAGAACACGAAAATCACCTTAAATTAGTTTTCGAAAGATTACATACATTTGGGTTAAGAATTAATGTTTCAAAATCTGTCTTTGCTGTTCCCAAATCGAGTTTCTAGGCTACCTAATTACACCTAAGGGTTCCCGTCCTTTGCCAGAAAGAGTTCAAGCTATTACTAACTACAAACGACCAGAAACAATTCATGAACTTAGAACTTTTCTTGGAATACTTAACTTTTATCGTCGTTATATAAAAGGATGCAGCGAAGAATCAAGCATTGTTACATGCGTATCTTAAGGGAGCTAAAAAGAGGGACAAACGTAAAATCGAATGGACTGAAGAAGCTGAAAAACAGTTTGAAAAGTGCAAGAATGACCTGGTGAACACGGCACTGTTGTCTTTTCCCAATTCTGAACTTACCTCTGGCGTTATTTACAGATGCTTCAGATACGGCGATTGGCTCAGTGTTGCAACCAATATGAAAACTCCTCGTGGAAACCAATAGCATTTTTTCTAAAAAAATAAATGATACTCAGCAAAAATATAGCACCTATGATAGAGAACTATTAAGCATATATCTTTCAGTTAGACACTTTAAGCATTATCTAGAAGGAAGAGTATTTACAATTTATACAGATCACAAGCCCTTAATATTCGCCTTTCGTCAAAAACTTGACAAAGCAACACCTAGACATGCTCGCCAACTTCAATACATCTCCCAGTTTTCGACTGATATCAAATATGTAAAAGGTGAGAATAATATTGTGGCGGATACATTATCTAGAGTTAATGAAATTTCATCGATAGATTATGATAAAATAGCTGATGAACAAACTCAAGATGAAGAACTGAAGAGTTTGCAAACCACTACTTCCTTGAAATTAAAGCAATGTTTTCTACCTTCGGGGAAATATTTGTGGTGTGATACATCAACTAAACATATTCGGCCATATATTCCTCAGACTTTCAGAAAACACGTCTTTCAACGAATTCATGGTATATCACATCCACGAATAAAATCGACTATGAAATTAATGACATCAAAATTCAGTTGGCCTAACATAAAAAAAGATGTACAGTTGTGGACAAGACCCTGCATTCCTTGCCAAAAAACTAAAATCAATCGGCATACCAAAACAAAATTAGGTGAGTTTAAAGTACCACCAGGAAGACTTTCTGTTATCCATATTGATCTCATTGGATCACTTCCCCCATCTAAAGGGAATACAGTCAAAAGTCGTTAATCCGGACACCCATAACCCGGAATGATCTATAATCCAGATCTCAAAGCTACAAACTTTCTAGGCATAATGCGTTCACGCATGCGCATAGGCGTTTACACATGCGCATAATATTTTTGCGCATGCGTATAATACGCATGCACGTTTAATGTATAACGGACGGTATAAGCTAAGCTAAAATTATCTATTTCAGTTAACGTTGCAGATCGCGTTGTTCTTTAATCTTCGAATTGGATCTGGCTTATTATTTTTTGCAGACTGTTAGAGCAATTTTATAAAAGTAAGTTTGAACTTTCGATTATGTCAAATAGAATTTCTGACTCTGGAGCTGCCAAAGGATCTACAAAGCGAAAGCATGTTTCGATGCCCATCAAACAAAAAGTGGAATTGCTGCAAAAAATTGATAAAGGCATATCCTTTAATTCCCTAATCATTCCGAAATATGTTTATCAATTTCACGTTGCTCTGCGAAGGGGGGGATGACGTGGCGCACAATGAACTGGAAGTTGATCTGTCAGCACTATCCTTATCTTCAGGGCAGATGTTTTTATTTTATTCGGCTTATAATTCCTTACTAAATGTAGTATTTCCTCTCGATGTACCCCGTCTTTGATATGATTTAAATCAAATTCCTCATCATTATAACTATCACGAATACACATCAAATAGTTTTCTGGTTCAATTTTCTATTTTCGACTATGCGTAATGTATGCTTTTTGCATGCGCGCGTTGAAAGAAATGTTTACTAAAGTAAGCAAATAAATATAAAGCTTTTTTTTTTTTTTTTATAAATTTTGATACCCTTTAGATCATAATTGCTCTTTATTTCATAATTACAGTTTCATATTTTTAATTTTATAATTTCTGCATGCCATCTTACCAGATTTAAACTGAATCGCCAAAGTCCCGACGAGTTCGGATTAAAGACTATTTTCTTAACCAATTCAATGTGTTAAACCAATTTTGTTTTATACAAAAACGGGAAGGTTTCTTTAGTCTAACATGCCTTGCACATGTGCATGTGAGTCCCTCAATTCTCAAGGTTACTGGAAACCAAAGTTGCTGGAAACTGGCTTTGCCTTTCTAAAAGATAATTTGATTGAACCTGCAAATATTGGCTTAATGCCAGCTGCCCGAAATATGCTCATGCAATTCACCAAGAAAGTTATTGCTTCCAACGTTAGTGCAAAATTCACATTTTTTGGGATTGTGATGCGAGTCTCACTCTTTTCCAGATTTTGACTAAAATATTTAAATTCTCTGACATTTTTGGTCAATTTTTGAATTTCCTTACTTTTTTCGCTTTTCCCGGTAGCATGACAGTATAGTTTCCTGCCCTGCTATCGTCTTTTGTCTAAAAAAGACATAAGCTACACAAATTGTGGGGTGCATATCGCATTCATAATAAAAATATGTGAATCAATAGTGTGTCTCTCAAACTACTTTATACAGCAATAAAATTCTGTTGTATTTGGCCATGTCTTCCTGAGAATGTCATCCGTGTATCTACACATTAAAGCCTCTCCAAGTAATTACAATGCATTTAAATAGCTCATCTTTAACGGTTAATTATCCAGTCATCCGATTACATATATATATCATGTTTTAATACGTAGGAGAGGGAATCCGGTACTTTTATCACCTTGTGGCTGTATACAGTAAAAGTACATTTACGGGTTCCCTTTGGCGAAAATTGGCGATTTTTTGGCGGTGCACCGATACCGAGTTTGTGCAATTCTTTCATTTGTTATTTTTTGTCTTTGTGTAGCAGCGATTGTACACACTGACATATTTTCACCTAAGAAAAATCACAGAATTGCACAAACTAGGCATTGCGCACTCCCTTAACTTTATCCATGTACACATCGACCTATTTTCACTATAAAAAAAATACCAGAGAATTGCACAAGCTTGGCATTCTGTCCACGTACACATCAATATATTTTCACTTAAAACGTCAAAGGAGCACCCAATTCCAGATAAAAGTATATTTATGGAACATTCAACTACTCAGGTTACCATAAATGAAACAACAACTTCGCGATAATACAAGGGTTACCCTTCAGTCTACTCTAGCTGAACTAGGTGCTGCTTTGATTTTTAAGTGAAAACAGATTGATGTGTATATGGACAAAGTCAAGTCAGTGCACAATGTCGAGTTTGTGCAATTCTCTGATGTTTTTTTAAGGGAAAATAGGTTGATGTGTACAAGGACACCGAGATTGTGCAATTCCACGACTTGTTATTTTTGTTTTGTGTAGCGCCATCTTGAAATTGTACCCTGCTAGACAATCGCCAAGGGGCACCATTAAATATATTTTTGCCGAATAATGTTGAAACAGGTAATTAGTGAAAATAACTGCAGATTTTGGTTGTCATGTGAGAGTATGTTTACCCAACTTTCTACTATGAAAGTTATCAAACGTAAGATACAGAGCTGGCTGAAATTGAATAAGCAAATCTACACACCCAAAGGTGAAAGATTCAAGAACCTATAACTCACAAATAAATTACCTGAGGCTAGGTGAACATATTGCATCTGCCACAGTACTACAATTTAGAATTTTCTCTTTAGCACTTGCACACACTTCCTTTTTCCTGTAAAAGTAAAGAAATTACTTGTTTAAAGGTAAATATTATAAATTACCCTAAGACAAAAATCCTAGTGCAACTACATTTAAGGTAAAAACAGCTTTTACTACCACCTCTTTCCTATCTACATTTATTAAACACTATTTAATACGCTGCAAAATATATTTCACTGATAATATACCGTAGAACATACTTTAAACAAAAAGAGAAAACAAAAAATATGAAAAAGTATAAAAAATTATATACATCTTGTTTTAACAAAGCACACTTTTGCTTAATATTTCTATCCGTTTAAATTTCAAAACTAAGCTATTCCTAAAGGCGAAAAGTATGCATCTATCACAGGAGATCAATTTGTTTATAAACATACTTCTGCAGCACAGCTTCTTCAGTAGAACTTGGCGACTGTATAACTTTCAAAGCTTCTAAAGCCTTCATCAATTTATCCATCGTAGCCATAGTTGTAGCTAGCATTGGAAACGCTGCAGCTAAAACGAATAGTACACAATCAGGAAATGTGCGACATTTAGCAATACAGTTCCACCACTGTTTACATTTTCTAACCAAACATGACACGCGACATATTTTGTTACACAGCTTAGTATATGGAATTGATTTTAGGGGCGAATTCAAGCGCAACGCTCTTGCAATTTGCAAGAGGCGTTCCTGCTATCGGCTGTTAAAACCGAATTCAAGTGCAACGCTTTACCAGTATGGCAACTGATGACGTCAAAATTGCAATCGAAAGCCATCTAGAGTTCGTGCCAGGAGAGAATAGCCGATGAACTACGTCAGTTATCCAATGAGATTGCGTTTCGATGTAAACATCAATCATCCGTTCCCATAGTTCCTTTTAGCTTTTAGATTAGTTCCCATAGTAACTTTTAACCACGTTTTTTGCTTTGGATACTGTCGGTAGATTTGTGTGTTTTTCAAAATGCAACGATCCACAAATTTTTCTATGAAAGAGTTGGAAGTTTTGGTAACTTCCCTAGAAAGTTACAAAGAACTAATTACCGGTGAGTTGGGCAAATCATATGCCAATGTAAACGAACAAAAGGAGGCATGGGAAGAAATTGCAACGATTTTAAACTCCGTAGCGTTAGGAGTGAAGAGAAACGGAATTCAAGTGAAAAATAAGTGGACAGACTTGAAATGCCGCACCAGAAAAAAAGCGGCAAGGATTAGAAATAACTATTTTTCTACAGGAGGGGGACCTCCTGCCAAAGAAAAACTAACTGCTGTTGAAGAAAAGGTTTTAGCGCTGATAGGTAGTACATGTGTGGAGGGTATTACCCCCATAAATTATGATATATGTGCACAGTCTCTAATCAATGTAAGTATATATAGTATGGTAAATTTTTCTGCAAAAAATCTGCATTACTGCCTTATCTTGTTGAAGCAAAACTCTTCTTCGTATTTCTTCTTAAGAAAAAAGTTAACTTGCTCAAAACTATGTTTCACTTAATTATTCCTTGGAGTTTTAATAGTAAATCAACTGTTATTGCTTATTGTAATAAATTGTATGTGTTAAAATATACCTGTATGTTTTGTGTTTTTCTTCCTACATCATGTGAATATGAATCAGTTCTCATTAACAAATGTAATAATGTAATTACCTTATAGTATGGATAATGAATTAGAGTGATGATTTTTATAAAAATAACATTAAAATATAGCACTCTTCTGTTATCAGGACCAGATTCAGAAATGTATGGCCCATCAGTGGCTGAGCGGGAAAGTCGTTGAACACTGGTAGTTTAGTCTGAGGTTCAATTCAGCAAATGGGCTGGCTGCATGGACGTTTTCATGGTTTCCCCTATGTGTAACATGTATACGAACCAGTTTCCGTAGAAAGTTCTTCACGAAGGCATTCCTCCCCTTAGGCAGATAGCCTCGAAGCTTTGCCGTAAACACATAAACAAAAACAGAAATGTATGGCTATATGTGTTTAGGGTGTATATGTTCATACACACGCATGCATATGTACATATATATATATATACACACATATATATAAAGTAAGAAATTTAGAACTAGTGTTTCAGAAAGACGATAATTTTTTTTAGATTCTTAATTAATAAATTTCAAATAATCTAATAAATGCAACAAAAAATTGTTAAATATATACATATAAACAAATCTGTGTGCATATATATATATGCACACAGATACATACATAAATTTCAGAATTTGCTCCTGATAACAATTGAGTACCTGAAATATTTTTCATTCCCTAATGTATGTATTAAAATATCTCTATCTTTTATTCTGGCAGTTTTTTAATACCTAGACGCTGAAATTTATATAGTAACATGTTAAAAATCATAATTTCTGAATTGCCGTTTAGTGAAAAAAAATGTTAATGTAACTATGTTATAATTTCATTTCCAATTTTCCTTTTTTTTTTTTTTAAGTGTTCCTATGTACTTCTGCTTCAAAATATACCTGTTAAAAATTCGCTTACTTCTAAATTTTTATTTTAATGAGTCTGGCAGGTATTACTAATGGCTAGATGACTGTGCTTACATCATTTTTAATAAGAATGATAGAAATTGCAAATTTAAAGAAATGTGTTAGTTGATTTCCATTAACAGATTTCGAATATTTACTAATTGCAATTTATTTATCTTCAGGAACGAAAGGAAAACCTTGCAGGAAATAGTAAGCTGTTACATTTGTTTCAAAATTTAAAACTTATTTTAAAAACATTTTTTTAATTTTTTTTTTATTTTGAAATCAGTTTTACTTTATTATAATTAGTTTTTAATCTCATGTAATATTTTTTTTTGGGAAGCTTCAGAAAATTCTGTAGTGAATAGTGTGAGCCAACAGGTATGTCCTTGTGCTATTTATTTTCAAAGTAATAATTAATGCATCTAATTTTTTTGTATAACTTTTATATGTAACTTTATATATGTATTTATTTCCTGAATTTTTTTTAGAATACATCATTAGCTTTCAGTCCTCATTCTTTGAATGGTAAGTATTTGAACATGTTAGTCAAAAGTCAGACCTTTACAAAGTATAATTTCCTTGTATGCATTCCTTGTATTAATGTAATACATTTAACCATTCTTAAAGTACATGGTTCATGACTTGTGGCAAAATACTGAAAGAACAGAAATTTCAGATTTTAAATATACGTATTGATATCTAGATTTTATATAAATATATAAAACTATTCATTATATTTTTTGTAGTTCAGAGAACATCCACAGTATATGAATACAAGTATTCATTTCCATTATTTAGGTATCATAGTATTTGTGTTCTTCAGAAGTTTAGCAGTTCTTCAGAAAATGTATTAAGCACCTGAAATATGCTTTTTCCACTATGTTTCTATCATTGCATATTATGATAAATGATGTAGCACTGCATTAATTTTAAAAGCTTTCTCTGCTTATCTTTAAATAGTTGTATTTGCATGAATGTTCTACTAAGTAACTGTTTTTTCCTTTCACAGATTATCAGAGACCACAGTATCTCTAACAAAATATGGTTTGTATTTCAAAATTTTAAGGATTTTTGTAAATTTTTTTGACTGAACATTTTGTAGACAAAAAATATATATATATATATATATATATATATATATCCTTTAATTTTTGTCTAGTATTGTATGGGTCTTTCAAAGGCAAAAATGATACATATGCCAGTCTGTCTCTTCTGCAGTATGTAAAATGTTTTTTTTTTTTTTAAGGGAGTTAAAATATCTTTTTTTTACCCTCACGAAGACTTTTTTTTTTTTTTTTTTTTTTTTTGCGATCTTATCATCTGAACACTTGAATTTTCTCTTTCATCAGATGAATCCAAGCTCCCTTCTATTCGCACTAAATGGATTTAAGTTCATACAACATTTTTCTATAGAAATATATTATATTTCAGGGAGTGTCGATAAATAGCGGCAGATTATCTGATTGTGGCAGTGAAAATGTTGGCATTATAGAGAATGCTGAAACGCCTAGTGGTATGTTATCCTTTATTTATAGTTATGCAAAATTATAAATTATCTCTGTGTAAGTATATCTGCAAATTATTCAGTAAATAATATTTATTTCATATGATTTCTTTTCCCATTGTTGATACCAAGGCCAACTTACTAAGCGAAACACTGACTAGATATCTAGTTGGCCTTGGACTGTACGTAAAATTCGTTGATTACAACAGGGTGGGTTTTCGCCTTCAGTATCATCTAAGTTCACTGAGTTATTAGCGGTTTGCAGAAGTTGAAATTTTTTATTAGTTTTAAGATTTGGTTCCTCATTTTCATTCAGAATCTGAAGATTTTCTATGTTTATATTTCCGATTTTTTCGGAATTCACCTCCAGTTTAACGAGCTTCACAATATTGTTTCAATTCGTTTAGTTGCTTCTGTAAAACATTTGAGCTCATTGTTAGTTTTTGTAGCTTGAACATTTTCTTGCTCTGATAATTGATTTCTGTAGTTCTTTGATTGTTTGAGAAACCAACATTTGTTTAATTAATGCATTTTCAGTGTCGATTACCTGGTAGAGTTAGTATTGTTCGGTAATGTTATTTTGAATGTGAATGAGCTGAGGGTCTGATAAATAGTGAGTGTAATCATGATCAGAAGTCTCGTGTGAATGTGCAGAATCCTCCATGTTCGCTGTATGTGTAAACTCAGGATCTAACTTTAATTTGACCTGAAAGCAGCTCAAGATGTCATGCGTAAGGGGAAAAAAAGAGAGTAAAAGAAGTTGCAATCGAACTAAAGAAGTTGCTACGAGAAGACTCGAAACTTCTCAGCCGGTTTGCAACTAAATTTCTTGGGAGACATCTAATCGCAGTTGGCGCCGCGGCTTACAGAGAACACGCAAGATAAAAGTGCAATGAGTAATCTTGCCAAGAAAGAGGCACAGAAGCTATTATCCAAACGTAGAACGGCAGGTGTGCGCTGAATGATCCAGAGGTGGGAAGCAACGCAGACGATAATCCGTAGCGGGTGCAGCTGACTAGCCGATACAACCTTTGAGTATGATGCCACCAGCTCGAATATCTGATGTTCTCACAATGTAGCATTTAACGTGATGTTTGATGTTTATTTGAGCTTCTCTTACTACATTTACAATACTACGATCGATTGAAGTCAAAGAATTCATAACTATGCTGCTAGATGGCGGTACAGAGCCATCCACTTTTCAGGCTACATGGTCGTGAGTACATAATTTAAGTGCTCTTAATTACTAAACACCGATGTTTAACCAAGGCTAAATTATCAGACATTGGTTAAAGAAAGAAGTTGCTAAACGGCAATTGCACCATCATGGTCTACACGCTATGCCTAGGCTATGCGATAAAGGCAGCACTCTCAAAATCCTTTTTCCCTTCTTCATCTGCTAGACAGGGAAAAACCGGCTGTAAGCAAAATTGGGAGCTTGAATTCTAGACGCTTGTCATGTTTGGTAAGATGGTATTGTGTTAGGGATGGATTATTTTTGGAAGGAACATCATTGACTATATATGAGAGAAGTATGAACGCTATGAGTTTAAGTAATGAATGCTCAGCGGTAAATTCTAAAAAATGTGGTTTAACAATTCTTGAAAGTACTAGTTGTAGTGTCTTGTGGTACAATGAAAATTTTTGTAATATACTGAAAAACGAGCTGTGTAGTTACAGCGATATTTTTAGAATCCCGAACTATTACCATTTGGCGTTTTATTTATCATTAACGTTTAAACAAAACAAATTTTTCGTGCACATCTGTAAATGCAATAGGTGTGGTGCTGTAGTTGCGACTGAAAATGTTGATATTCGTTGCATCGTTTCCCTCGTGCAAAAGGAAAGCGAAAATGTGATAACAAAACATTTAGACCTATTAAAAGACTCTGAATATGCACTTGCCACATTTGAAAAAGACGAATTAACAGAAATAAATGAAAAATTCGTGGCAATTCGTTGTACCATATCTATTAAAGAGAATTGCAGTTTAGATAGTTTAAAATGCTTTAAATATGAAAAGGATAGACCACTAAGTGATGTTACTGCTTTAACTGTACATGAGTTAAAAGAACACTTAAAAGTGCTTTTACAAGACGATAATCTTCACAGCATAACAATTAGTGTTGAAGGTGAAGATTTTCTGGTGCACCAACATATACTTTCCTATCATTCACCAGTGTTTGCTGCTATGTTGCACCATAAAATGCAGGAAAGTATTCAGAAGTGTATTACAATTGAAGATATTCCAGCTCATATTGTTGGAGAAATGCTTATGTATATGTACACTGGTAGTTTAAGTAAATTGCAACTAGAAATGGTAATGAATCTTTTTGTTGCTGCAGATAAATATGCTGTTTTAAATCTTAAAAATCATTGCTCAAAATATTTGGCTTCACACTTAACTCAAGAAGATGTTCTTAATATTCTTGTACTAGCAAATAAGCATGTAGATGAAGAACTGAAATATGCATGCATCAGTTTCTTGACTAAAGACATAAGTACGATAGAAAGTGATCAGTTTCTGTTATTCTTGAAAATGGAGCCTGAGTTGGGTAGAAATATTTTTCTTCATTTAGTAAAAGAAATATTTAAATAGTCAGTCATGGCAGTTGAAATAAGTTTTTAAGTATCAAGTACTGTATTTACATGCATGTTTCTCCCCATCTTGTAATTTTCCTACTTGTTTTTTTCATCATATGATTTAGGAACATCTGATCTATGATAACAATGTTAATGCATTCACAAACAGTAAACTATATTGTGTCAGTAAAAAGGATATTGAAATTTTTTAATTCCTTATTACGGTGTCTTTATGTGTGTTTTCAATGTCTTATATTTCAAATTTTCATTTTTATATTTTATTCATATCATACCATGTAATTTCACCTCTCAATTTTCAAGCATTAAAATGAGTAGAGAAGGGGGGTGAATAAGCGAGTAAATGCAGTATATTGGGTAAAGTGCAGAATCGCCCACTTATTTGTTTGGCGCTTATTACAAGAATAAGAAGAATTGGATTTTTGTCAATTTTCCTTGACTTTTTAAGTGAGGTCAATGTGTACATGGATAAAGTCAAGGGAGTACGCAATGCCATTTTTGTGCAATTCTGGGATGTGTTAAGTGAAAATAGGTCGATGTGTACATGGATACCGAGTATGTGCAATTCTTAAAAAACGTGCCAAGCAGGGGGTGATTCTGCACTTTCCCCATGGTTTTTTTTTTTTTTTTTTTTTTTTTTTTGCAGTGATGATATGCTATTATATCCTACTTAGGGAAAAGGAATAAAATTTGGGAAGCACTTCTGCAAGAACCTGGTAAATGTAAACATCGCCAACATTGGCGATAATAGTTCAAACCTGGTAACCCATCGGATTCAACGTATTCGCTTGTTCGAAGGTTGCAACCATTCCTCTTATGGTGATCACCATCGTTGTTCGCATTTGCAGATTTAAATTATTCTTCACTTATTTATTATTATTTTTTTGGATTTTCACTTTTTTTTTTTTTTTTTTTTTTTTTTTTTTTTTTTAACTTTTAACAATGAATACATAGAAATATTTTCATATAATTAAGGAAGTTTTCATTGACAGATGTTAGTTCGCCGAAGAAAATATGGTGGGAGGGGTGAATGATAATTGGTAACACGGTTTTTAACTGTTAAGCACGCAGAACCAAGAGGTTTCCAACCCCTAAAATATTCTGTATCATGGGCTGTCAAAATATGCATTTTAATTAATTAAGTAATGTTTTTATTTTTATTATTGGTTATTGTCATCTAAAATAATATTTAGGGCTTAAACTTTTACCCAGATAATATTTTGTTAATGCTTTTCAAGCAATAACCTTTGAGAAGGTCTGACTAGCGTTGCCACCTCTTGGTTGAGGAGCTAATCCAGGAGAGGAAAAAAAATTTCTTAATCTCGTTTAAAAGTTTTTTTTTTTTTTTTTTTTTTTTTTTTTTTTTTTTTTTTTTAGCAGCAGGAGCGAGCACACTTTCCCAAATACTCGTACATTTTGTTTTACCATAAGAAATCGGTTTTGGCAAAGAAGAATCTGGAAATAGAGTGCTATACAATTTGTGCAATCCTGGCTTTTAAAAATGTGATGGTGCTCAATCCTATGATAGACTGAAGTACTTTCAATTGCTGACATATTGTCCTGTTCTTCTGAAGATTTCTTCATGAAAAAGTTCGAAACCGATTGCGAAGAATCCCTATTCAATATTAACGACTGGTGTTTCTTTCTTTGGGAATGTACATTTAAAGCTCTAACATCCTCGTACTTAATACAGTACAAAGTCTTTAATCCAGACTTGTTGGGACTTAGGCTTTTCCGGATTATAGATCGTCAATTTAAATCTGGTAAGAATGGCATGCAGAAGTTATAAAATTAAAAATATGAAACCGTAATTTATGAAATAAAGAGCAATTATGATCTAAAAAGTATCAAAATTTACAAAAAAAACTTAATATTTATTTGTTTACTTTATTAAACATTTCTTTCAATGTAAGTTGTTTAAGTTGCTTCGTTTTTTGTGCTAATACTTTCTCTTTAATTCTATAAACAGACATAATTTCTTGTTCAGTTCCACTGTTCAAGTCCTGTAATTGCTGTGTCGAGCATACCGACTAATTTGTCAATCGAAATTTTTTCATTTTCAATAACCTTTCTGTCGCTTTCTTCACTATTGGAAGCGGTACATCAAAACATGCTTTCGCTTTGTAGATCCTTTGTCAGCTCCAGAATCGGCAACTCTTTTTGACATAATCGAAAGTTCAAGGTTACTTTTTATAAAATTGCTCTAACAATCTGCAAAAAATAATAAGCCGAATCCAATTAGAAGATTAAGGAACAATGCAATCTGCAACATTAACTGAAATAGATAATTTTAGCCTAGCTTAAACCGTCCGTTATACATTAAATGTGCATGCGCAGAAAGTTTGTAGCTTTGAGGTCCGGATTATGGACATCCAGATTAAAGACTTTGTACTTTATTAACCGTTTTCCAACATACTTTACATTCTCCATTAAAGTTGTCTCTCTTCATAAACTAATCAAATTGAGTTAACCACTTGTCTTGAAAGGACTTCGAATTTTTTTGTGTGTGTGTGGCACTTGTTTGCTTGCAGAATCGGAATAATTTTTTTCACTAGACATTATTATGAAAGCATTTAAATAATTTCAAAATATGCACTTGTTTGTAGATAGCTACAGACTAAATCAAACTACTACTGCCTAAATGAAAGAATGGATTGAAAATGAGAGGGTGAGGGCATGACTCATCCTGTAAGGTGCTTGCTCACTGCTCACCGTAGATCGCTGCTGCAAAGAATATGTATTGACGTAGACATTCTTTGGCTGCTGTGCGTGGTCATGTGATTTTCGATCTGTGCCGTTATTTTCGAGAAACTTGATATTCCGGGAGGGTAATATTTATTTTAAATTCCTTCCGGGAGCTGGGAGATTTTAATTTTCAAGACTCAAATCCGGGAGAGGTGGGAACCCTAGGTGTGACACACAACAGATTATTAAATTGAAATAAAGAATATTATTGTCTAAGATGATAGAATAGTTTTATGGATTCCCAGGGTCATCAAACTTAGCAAACCACTACTTGTGTAATGAATTCAAGTACAAATGACTCTTGAAAAATAAAAAAAATGTACAATGTTCTAGTTTTATTAACAATTCTGAAGAGAATTTCAGTAATCTTGAAGATTATTGGTATTGTCAAATATATTATGAAAAAGATAGGCAGTTGTTTCAACATAAAATGCTTTAAGCTGTTTGCATTTAAATTGAAAAAAACATTGAAAAATTGTTTATGTAAAATGGATGTATTCAAAGTTGTGCACTCGTTAATTTATTACACGTGCATGGTTCTTACTGAAATGAGACTGTCATTGAATGATTGTTTGGAATCGAACATTTCTTGTTATTTGAAACCTATTTCACCACTTTTAGAATGATATAAATATGCAGTTGTGGCTCTCACTGACATAAAGTTTGGCCACTCCCTGATGTATCTATTGGATTTATAACTATTATACTAATTATAAGATACAATTTTTAGAATTTCAACAAGCAAAACACTTAAAAATGAAAAAAGACACTTATAATAGAGATATAAGTATTCTATATTAATTATAGAAAGTACATGTAATGAATAATACCATGACTAAACATGTCAAAGAGAAAAGATTAAGTATTCCCTAACTTGGTACTTGAGAAAGCAATCCTGCCATACAACACGTAGTTAACTTTTGATGTTGTGTTCTTAGCTTAAGGGATTGTGTTATTTAAATTCTAATGCGGTGTTCCTATGGTCTACCTGGGTCATTAGCGTCAAGTGTCTTTTCCAAAAAATTTCACTTTCACCTCGGCGAGAATCCTGCCAAACGTAGCAACCCATTATTTTGACATCAGAAAACAGGTGCAACGGTCAGTGCCATCTATTGCCAAAAGGCTACATCCATGCTTCTCAAAATTCACTCTTAACACGGAGAAAAATAGTTTTGTGATTGTGAATGAATGAACTTGGTCGCGTTAAAGGGATGTTGGTTGATACCGGTGTTTATTTGTAATATCAGAAATGTAAGTGCGTATGTGTGTGTGTTCAGAGAATCGACTCATAGCAAAAAACCACCTCTGAAAGAAACCAGTATTTCTGAAAACATAAGTATATTTTTATATTGAACATTCCTTCTGTTCACAAAGAAACCATTCACAAAGAAAATTCTGCAAGCGTGGCTAGTCACCTTAGAGATATTCATTTTGTAGATGCAACCTCCCTAAGATGACCACCTCTAAAAGGTAAAGGCTGATCTTTAGAATATGGTAACTGGTAGTTTGGCGACATTTTGGAGGCGATAAAGGTTACTACCTGGGACTTTGGTAATAATGTGAGCAGTACTCAGTTCCGATTACGCATTATTTTGTGTGAGGGAAATGAGAGATCATGGGATATGTCATGTGATATTAATGGACGAATTACGGTTCTTTAATCGGAAAAGGGGGGAAATCGGGAAAAAATCTGGAAATTTTGTATTTGCTTTATTCTGTGTTGTGTGAAACAGTGTTCGTTAATTTTTGGATCCCATGGTCCTAATTAAAGTGAATTCGAAATGGGTATTTAGTGGGATTGAAAGGGATAGTAATAAGTGTTTCTTTAAGGTTGTGCGAGATAGAAGTAAAGATGTTCTATTAAGTTATTTATTTTACCTGGTACCTTGCTGTGAACTATAAGTATGATTTTAAAGATCCTGAAACAGAAATAAGAAAAGTTTATCGGACACGTAATCAAGATTCTGAAGAAGAATAGGTAAGTTAGTATTTTTAATTATTTGAAGATATTATTTTTATGCATTGTTCTAAATGTAAGGTGGAAGTAAAGTAATTTGTGTAAACGTGCATAGAAATAATTTAAATATTTGACACTAAGTATTTGTAACCATTTGTAATGTTTGCAGTATGAATTAGTTAGTGACGTTTGTAATATAATAGATAATGTAGAGGTAAAAGTTTTTGGATATTTTATTTATTTTATACGGGGAAATGTTCATATTTCGAAAGGGTATATACTTTTTGGCGATCAGGTAATTTCATATATGTTCTTTTTACCCGGTTTAAAGATTCAGAAAATTGTTATGCACTTTCGTGAAATTTTTCTAATTTATGAGAAAAAAGCAGTGTACATGGATATAGTGAAGAGAGTGCGCAATGCCATTTTTGTGCAATTCTGGGATTTTTTTTTAAGTAAAAATAAGTCGACGTGTACATGGTTTAGTGATATTTTAAAT